ATATATATATATACTAGTACAGTACCCGTGTGCTGTACGTGAGCATTTATTATCTACTTAATTTTTAAAATATATGTGTGTATTTAAATTGTCTCAGGACATTAAAAATATCATGAAAATAAAATTTATATATCATTGAAAACTTTCATATGTACAACATTATTAGTTTGATTTTTTGAAACGTAAAATACTACATAGGTGTTCGAATTTTATCTAAAATTATATATTAATAGTTATTAATTAACAAATTATATTTTTTCTAAAAAAATTAAGGGATCTTATTTATTAAACATAATTTTAGTAAAAAGAAGTAGAGATTTTTATGGTTTTTTCACGCCATTTTTCCTAGTAAAATAAAATGGAAAAGAATCATTAATTTTTCCTAAAAATAAAACTGAATTTTCCTATCAATACATCAATTTTTTACCAAACAAATTGATCTGAATGTCTAGTTAAAACAAAGTGAAAAGAATCATCATTTTTTCCTGAAAATGCAACCGATTTTTCCTAACATTGAAGCGATTTTTTTACCAAACAAATTGAATTGAAACTAATTCTAATAAAAGATTGAAATTTTTTGTTAAAATTTATGCAGCTATTTCTTTCCTAAAAAAAATGATAGGAACTTAACAAAAAAAATTATGAACTTACCAAAATCTCGGTAAAACATGGTTAAGAAAAAAAATAAGAATCTAAAAAAATCGGTGCATTCAAATTTTGAAAAGTTGTACACGATATTTAAATTTCTTTCCTAAATAATTGGATAAGGTTTGATTTTAAATGTCAAAGATGAAAACTATAACCGATTGTAGTAAATTTTTATGAATCACTCATTTTTGTACGTAAATATTAATTTCTATATCTATATATTAGAAAGAGTACTTGAAATTTGTATTAAAATGTACGTAAATATTAATTGCAATATTATAATTTTTGCTCAAACATGGCAGATTACACTTAACAAATATTACTAACATTCCATGATTAATTATTTATTTTACATAGAATGCGTGAACAGATTCTCGGCTAAAGAGATTTTAATTCCGTTAATTATGCATCCAATCTGCGCAGTTATCCAAAAAAATAAAAAATAAAAAATAAAAAATCAAACAAATAATGAAAACAAAAAAAAAAAAATCTAGATTTTTAAACATGTTCACAATGAGTCAAACATTTGACTCATTTATTTTAGTTTTCCAAAAATGAATTTATCATGGACATTTTTCGATATATATAGATATACTGCCCACTCCAGCCACATCAGACATGGATGAGTTTCCCATATGAAGTTTCTGACCCGTAGCAGGAGTGTATTCAGAGAACACCTCCTTGTCGGAACGTACATGACGAGTGGCACCAGCATCGATGTACCACTCCCTTGGGTTATCCACCAAATTGGTTTCAAACACCACAGCCGACATATCAAAGTCGGTTAGTTCACCCGGCACAGGGCCGTGTTCAGCAACAAGGGCACTAGGTTGCCCTTTCTTTGACCCAGTCTTCTTTGGCCTCTTGCAGTCTTTCGCCATATGGTTTGGTTTTCCACAATTGTAAAAAATTCTGGTAAACTTCCAAACCTTGTCTGGTTGTTTTCCCTTGTTTTGGGTCTTCTTCTTGCTCGAGTTGCCTTGCTCCAGCAAATTGGCACGAGCTTCCATCATTGGGACTTTTCATGATGACTTCTGGTTGTCTTCCTCGATACGAAGACGAACAACCAAGTCTTCAAGACTCATCTCCTTTCTTTTGTGTTTGAGAAAATTTCTTGAAGTCCTTCCAGCCTGGCGGCAACTTCTCGATCACAGCCGCTACTTGGAATGACTCGCTCAAAGTTATCCCTTCAGCATGGATATCGTGCAAGATCAGTTGGAACTCTTGCACTTGTGACACGACAGTCTTCGTATTAACCATCTTGAAGTCAAGAAATTTGCCAACGACGAATTTCTTCACCCCCACATCTTCAGTCTTGTACTTTTTCTTCAAGGCGGCCCAAAGCTCCTTGGCAGAACCAACAGAGCTGTACACATTGTACAACTCGTTACTAAAACTCTATTGCATCAGAAAAGGTAGGTTTTGACTTTGAACCTTTCTTAGTAAACATCATCAGATGCACTGGCGGACTAGTGGATAATGCCTTGAACTATTCCTCCATAGTGTATACCTAGACAATGACATTCACACAATATAGTCTTAACTCCATTTCGTTCTATCGTTGTGTCCGTTTTTGCCATGGACAACACAATGGATTCATAAGTGTTTACATTTGAAGCGCCCCACACTTCACATATATAGGTGACCTACCTATCAAGAGTATCATGTAATACTCCACCTTTACAAGGTTAAAGATTCATTAAAAGTCCATATGACTTACCCTCACCACAATCAATAGGTAATCTTGCACTTGGAGTGCTCTAGGGAATAGCTTTGGACATTCATATGTTCCAAGTGCTCAACTAAATTTTCATAGCTTAGTTTTCCCTTTGAACCAAGTTCGTGGGATCTCCACTCAGCATGGTAGGGTTACCACTAGGATCATTCTTTACATTGTGGATTTTTAAGTCCATTCCCTCTAGCAAAACTGCCAATTGTTCTCTATTCAATCTTTTCGTCAAAGGATCAACCTAATTTTCCTTAGACTTCACATAGTGAATGGAGATAAAACCATTTGTGATCAATTAGCGTACGGTATTATGTTTACGACGAATATTTCTAGACTTACCGTTATACAAGTTGCTTTGCGCCCTACCTATAGCAACTTGGCTATCATAGTGAATCATCACAGGAGGCAAAGGTTTACTCCAACATGGTATATCGGATAAAAAGTTTCTAAGCCACTCGGCTACTTCACTAGCTTTATCTAAAGCGATGAACTTCGATTCCATCGTAGACCGATCTATACACATTTGTTTTGTGGATTTCCACAGAACTGCACCACCTCTAATACAGAAAACATATCCGCTAGTGGAGCGAGAATCTCTCGAATCTGATATCTAGCTTGCATCACAGTACCCTTCAAGTACGGCTGGGTATCTCGAGTATTTTAGCCCGTATTCAAGGGTGTACCTCAAGTACTTAGTACATTTCTCAAAGCATTCCAGTGTTCATGACTGGGATTGTTTGTAAATCTGCTCAACTTATTCACCGGATAGGCCAAGTCTGGTCATGTACAATTTGTCAAGTACATCAGACTCCCTATTATCCGTGAATATTCCAACTGAGCCGCTGGTTGACCTTTATTAACCTCAAAATTTATACTGAGATCAAAGGGCGTTTTACACCTAGACTGTGCACCATCTTAGGTATCAAATTTCTTGAGCACTTTCTCTACATAATGAGATTGTGACAAGACAATTCCATCTTGGGTTCTGATAATTCTTATTCCAAGAATAACATCAGCCAAACATATCTTTTATGTCGAAATTTCTTTTCAACATTCTTTTCGTATCCATGATCACTTCATGGCTACTCCCCATGGTCAACATATCGTCTACATATAGACATACAATCAAAAATGTATCTGATGTACCCTTGACATAAACACATTTGTCTTCGTTGATTTGAACTCATCACGTCATCAAATTTCAAATGTCATTGTTTCGGAGCTTGTTTCAGTCCGTACAAGGATTTGATCAATCAACACACCTTTCTCTCTTGTACAGGTGCAACAAACCCTTCAAGTTGTTCCATGTATATTTCTTCTTCCAATTCACCATTCAAAAATTCCGTCTTGACATCCATTTGGTGAATATCAAGATTGTGCAAAGCAACAATCGAGATAAGCACTCTTATCGACGCTAAACGCATAACTGGTGATTAGGTATCAAAGAAATCATACCCTTCCTTTTGTTTAAAGCCTTTGACCACCAATCGTGCTTTAAACTTATCAATCGATCCATCAGCTTTATATTTCTTCTTTAGGATCCACTTGCATCCTAAAGGTTTACAACCATTAGGGAGATCAACCAACTCCCAAGTATGATTTTGCTTAATGTACTCGATTTCGCTATTTACAGCTTCTTCCCAGAGTGGTCCATCTGGGCTGGACAGAGCTTCCTTAACGGAACTCGGTTCATCGTCCAATTTCACTTGGGATTATACCTTTAAAGTCGTTTCCCCCAAGATACAACTCTTTGAGTATGCTCAACCTTCCAATTTCACTTGGGATTTTCCCTTTGAAAAAATTAATTAAGAACAAGTTTTTGAATATTAAAGCTGATAATTTCATTTTAGCATGCTAATCAAATGACGAATTCAGATGCAACTAACAAAAATAGTACCCGTCAAGTAGTTACTATGAAGGTTCAATGTCTTCAAGTAAATGCAGTTCTCAATTTGGTTAGGTATAGTCCCTGGATTAGTTTCAACAAAAATGTAATTAGTAAAACCCTTCCCAATATATTAATTCAAAACGTGTTGAGCCTAAGTGGCAGATTTTCACGTTTTGAATGCTGACATGACGAAAATCTATACTTCGTGATGTTGTTTTTATATTATTTTGGCTCTGAAGTTAATTTTGATATTAGACATAAATACGTTTTATCATATTTTACTTAACTCAACCCCGTGTTGTACACGAGTATTGTACTAGTAAAACTTTATTTCAGAAAAATCCAAAATGGTAGAAATTGCTAATAAATATCATAGTTTTTAAACCCGCCTTGGTAATCGACCCGGGCAGGTCTCCGGATTACCGGTTCAACCACCGGGCCACCGGGTCAATTGCTAAACCAGATAATTAATTTTAAAATTTTTAAATTTTTTATAGAGTATTCTGTCATATAAATATACATAAAAGTAACAAAATTAAATATTTTGTATTTAAAATTTGTAAATTTAAAGTGGTAATAATATGTATTTCAATATAAATATTTACCATATAAATGTATATATATACATAGTTTTATTTTAAAAAAAATAAAAATAAAAAAAAAAGAAAAAAATGAAAAAAAATATATAGGGACCGAGTCAACCGGGTTGACCCAGCAGGGCCAATGCCCCGGGTCGACTGGGTCAAGGCCGGGTTGGCCGGGTCCTTTGTTGCCCAGTCCAAATACCCCACCCGGACTGGTTCCGGCTCCGGGTCGACTGGGTCCCGGATCGACCCGTCGCGCCTAATGTGCTATTGCGCACACGACCGGGTCTCGGATCTACCTAAATGCTCTCTTATGCTATATCAGCGCCGGTCCGAGTTGAAAAGCACTAATAAATATTAAAATGTGGTGGTTTTGTTTATTCATGATTAACTATTTTAACAACTAAAATGAATGATGGAATGTTACTTTCCTGTTAGATTAGCAGCGGCTGATGTCTAATATCTGTAGCCGTGAAAGTTTTCCAATTTCTCGCGAAATTCCTCCTGAAAATTGAATAGTTTGACCAAATACTAAAACATGATCAACACATCTTTTCTAGCTTGGTGAATCTAAATAATGCACATAATGTACACACCTTTAAACTCGTTAGCCCCCAAATACAACTCTTCGAGCATGCTCAATCTTGCAATTTCACTTGGGATTTCGCCACTAAATCGGTTGAGTGATATCCACAAGATCCGAAGCGCTCTGCACTCGCCTATATTCGGTGGAATCGAGCCCTCCAATTGATTGTCTCGCAATGCAAGCACCTCAAGAGTCGAAACATTATCACACATATCACTCGGGAGCATGCCCGTTAAGTGATTAGACTTCACCCATATTTCCTTAATCGAGGACATATTGAAAATACCGTACAGAATGGAGCCCGTTAGCTGATTATAGCTTATATTGAATATTCAGAGGGAAGAACAGTTGCCGATGTTGTCTGGGATTCTACCCGCGAATGTGTTGTTGTTCAGGCACATAATCTCGAGCCGATGTGATAATGCTCCGAACGAGGTTGGTATTTGCCCGGTGAAATTATTGGAACCAATGTCTAATTATCTTAAGAACGTCAAATTTCCGAGATGTGGGGAAAGAGTTCCTCGGAGGGCAAAACCGGAAATATTGAGGCCCGTGACACGGTTATTGTGTTTGGTGCCGCAAAGGACGCCAATCCATTGGCAAAAGGAAGTGTCGGTCGACCAATTTGTGGTTAAGAGACGGTAAGGGTCGGAGGTAATGGAAGATTTGAATCAGAAAAGGGCGTTTTGGTCGGTTGTGGAGTTGAGGAGTGGATTTGCGCAGGCTAAGGGAGTATTATTAGCAAAGCTCTGAAGATGAAGAAAGCATTATTATTTTCCATATTTCTTCACTTGCTCTTCTCTTGTTGTGTACTTGAAAATGTTTGCATCTGCGGTAAATTTGTAAGGCAAAGGCAATAGTCGATACATCATAAGAACGGAATGAATATTCAAACACTCTGCTCCACAACTTCTTTGGGGTGGTTGGAAAATGTAATCATATTCATTGTAGACTTTTGAAGTCAATGTTTAATGTCTTCACAATGGCAATGATTCGTGTTATTGGTCGGGCTGCATTTTAGGTGATAATATATGCATGTTTTTGAGCATACACAAGACTTTTCTTTTTCTACTTGCAAGTGTGTTACATTGCATTTCAACAGGAAAAACAATGGAAAATAAGGGGAAGTTGCAAATTTAGTCCCGTTAGATTGGGACAATCCCAATTTTAGTCCTAAGAGGCTCAATTTCAGTCTTTAAATAATTTTGTTCCGCATTTGGTCCCAAATCTAACAGACTTGACGGAAATGTTAACAGCAAAAAATGCAGGGAGAACATCGTCTGAAATGGCGGGAAATTGTAGCAGAAACATGACAACAGCCACATAATAACATAACTGACTCATTGTTCTTCAAATTTTCAATTCATATTGAGAAAATTAGGAAAAAAGAATGAGTTCTTCAAGAAGAGAAGTCGGTGTTTTTTGTTTTTGCAGTACGGTTGCTCGTCTACAGACTGCGTGGACCCCTGCTGTTTGTAATATTTTTGGGCAAGTAATAACCGAGTTACCCGACTCGGGTCGTTCTCTAAGGAAGGTTAGTCGGATTAAATTGTATGTTTATTCAATTCACAAAAGAAAGAAAAAAAAAATATTCCTAAACATTCTAATTCAATTTAATAATGGGGGATTTAAATTAAATTAAAAATAACATAAATGCTATCATTTTACTCGGAAAACCTTTCAAATGATA